GGGTGTGTCCCATCCGAGCTGCAAAAGCTTTTGGCGAGTGACCAAACTTCTTGTATGAGATCTCGCATTGTTTGGGTGGAACACTACACCTTTTTTGTTGATTAATTCTGGCCTTTTCTGTTGAAGTGCATTATTCAGTTTGTCCAGCTGATGACAGTAGACTTCTGATTTAATTGTTGTGTTTTCCAGTAAAAAAAAGTGACTCCTTTGAAATCCCATCAAACAGACAGCATCACCCTTTTTTGATGGATATCGGCCTTTGAAATGCTTTGAGCCGGATCATTTTTTCTGCTCCACGATCTTTTGCGCTTGATATTATATATACAACCCATTTTTTTGTCCCCAGTAATGATGCGCTTCAAAAATAGATCATTTTCGTGTCGCTTGAGGAGTGAAGCACAGACAAATTTCTCTCTATGAGGACATGGGGTTCCCATATAACGAGCTTCATGGTTAAACCCAGGCCTTTCAGGTGAAACAGTTGAATTTGATAAATTTAAACTCTTACCGATCTCACGTGTTGTTATTCACTGGTTTGCATCAACAAATTCCTTTATCGCGTCTTTATCAGCTTCAACCGGCTTTCCAGAACGTGGTGCATCTTCGACATTAAAATTGTAAGATCGAAATTTTACAAACCAGTTCAACACATCATTTCCATACACATCGGCTAATTTCTTTTTGGCTTGAGCAGCCTTTTTACCTTTTCTACAGTAAACAAGTAAAATAAGACGAAAATGCTGCTCTCCATATTTCAAAGGGCACCGACAAAAACTACTGCGTAAAATCAATTGAACTTATTCACACATAAATAAGCCTTGCTATATGAGCTGTCAAAACATATGACAATGCGATTTAAGTTTGAAGTTAGCTGTGAAAAAATACAATCTAATCAGGAAATAACGAAATTACTTTCCGAACTATATAATATTATGCTTGCTCATAGGCATCTCAAATTGAATGGTGGTCATTATACAGTTCATTAGCATGGCATCTATCAGTTCATAGATAAGGCATCTATCCGTTCATTAATAAGATTTCCAAATTATTAATACAATAATTATTTTATATAATTAGATAATGTTCTAACTTTCTTTTATTTTTATTTCCTTCAGCGAAAATTAAACATTTGCTTTAACTTTTATTTTAAATTAATTTTTTTATTTTTTTGAGTTTATAATTTCCACATTTACGTTTTTTCTGACTGAATGTGTATTGTTTAACTAAATGGCATAATATCTTTTAATCTTAAAACCTCAGAAAACGTAAAAATTGAGTCAAGCAAACTTTATCAATTGTATTTAAAAATTTCAAACTATAGTAGACTAATTGCAAACTAATTGTTAACAAATTGCTGTAAACTAATTGTAAATATCAAACGTAATAAATAAAAATATTTGGTGGTTTTGGCGTGGAAAATTCAAACAGCACAAGCCGTTAGGTGGTCAATCTATCTAATCTTTCATAAAAACGGTTGTTAGTGTTAAAAACACAAATATCGAATTAATTTAATTTATTAAATTAAAAACTAAATGAATAAAAAACGTACCTTGGAAACCACTTGATGTTGTCTTGTATGCTTCTGTCGTAAATCCACTATTTCCTTCCATAAAAGTTCATTCTCACTAAAAAATGAGAAACATAACCAATAAAATAAATAGGATATCCAAATAAAATAAAGAAGCTTTTATTACACTTTTAATATCTCTAGGGTATCCGTCATTGTATCAATTTGACTTTTAAGAGACGAAACTTCCTCCATTATCGTTGACACATCCTTCTTCGACAGAGTAGACATTATATGATTTTGATTTGATGTCTTTTTTCAATGAAAAAAAAACAAAACTAATTAATTTGCAAAAACTCAGCTAGAAAAAGCTTTTTAAAAAAAAATAAAAGTTCATATCATTGAAAAAAGAGAAAAAGGCACATATTCCGTCGAATCCTTCTTCGACAGAGTAGACATTATTTGATTTTGATTTGATGTCTTTTTTCAATGAAAAAAAAAACAAAACTAATTAATTTGCAAAAACTCAGCTAGAAAAAGCTTTTTAAAATAAAATAAAAGTTCATATCATTGAAAAAAGAGAAAAAGGCACATATTCCGTCGAATCCCAATTTAAACTACACATACATCACATAATCACAAAAGTACAAATTTCTCATTAAAGGGCAAAGGATTTTTGATGCGACCTACCATTTGATTTGTTTATTTGAAAAATGTTTTGAAATTTTAAATCTTTAATAATACTTAAATTGAAACAAAAGTATTAAAAATGGCTGCTTTATTGTTGTTTGCACCAAGATGTTATATCACCAATGAAAGCTCCACAAAATTTGTGTGTAATACTCTATTTGGCTGTGCTAGCGATCACATATGTTCATCATTTACTGAGAAATGATTATAGATGGAATGAAAAACATTTCATGACATCACTATGAAATGGTTATATAAACAATGCAAAAAAAGTTAAAGAAACAAGGCAAGTTGTTATTGTGAGTGATATTTAACATTTAATATGATACGAAAACCAATTACCAAGCCGTCACCAGTTTTTATTCACAATGAATATATCTGATAACAAATTTTAGCTGCCAAATTTTGTTTATCGGTTTCCACAAACATAAGTTATATTTTTTTGTTTACAGTTGGATTCTATTTAAAATAACTACAGTAACTCCAATACTCTTCTATATATCAGCTGTATTTATAAAGACAAAATACATCATGATAGTGACAAGTTGAACACTTTTCACTGTAGCAACATGGAACGTTAGAACGTTGTACTAGACTGGAAAATTTGAGAACGTAAAACAAGAAATGAAAAGAATGAAAATAGGTTTGAGCGAAACTCGGTAGAAGAAATCAGGTGTCATTACCTTTGAAGAAGGCAAATTTATCTACTCTGGAAGTGATTCACATGAACGAGGAGTATGTGTACTTTTGAACAAAGTGTCAGATAGAGTTTTTTTTTAATTTTTAAGTTCCTGGTGAGCGAATTTTCAGTCACATTTGTGACTATAATGTTACCGTTTGGTATAGGAAACATAACAGTATTATGATATGAATAATAGTATGATGTATGTTTGCGTGTGTGTGAGCGTGAGTTTATGTGTATGTATTTATTTGACATTTCCGTTACACTTATAGTTAGAATTTTTTAGTTAAGGGTGGCCTATCCAAAGGTTTATCTTTTTTGGTCACCCTTAAAATAAATTCCTTCAAATATGAATATGCATGAGTGGATATGAATATGCATGAGTGGATATGAATATGCATGAGTGGATATGAATGTGTATGAGTGGATATGAATGTGTATGAGTGAGTATGACCATATAATGAACTTTTTACAGTAAACTTTTCCTAATATGTCAACATGCTAATATTCTAAGTTGTTTTCTTTATTTGACATTAAATTTAATTACATGTCCGCTAGATTGGATATTCGTTTATATATTTATCTATCAATACTTTTATTGGTGGCTGAATATTAATCTAATTGTCTTTGAAATGTTAATGCGCTTGTGTGATGTGTGCGCGCGTGCATGAGTCATCATCATTGCCATATTTTATTCGATTTATTCTGTAGAATCAACTTCTGTTCGTATAGTTAATTTTAGCTGAGACACTACTACAAGTATGTTTACTTTTTGTGCTTTGTTGAAATAAAATTCAAATAAAAAAATGGTAAACAGGTGAAATAAGTCAACAGCTTCAATTATCTCGAAAGTCTGATTACCACAAGTTGTAAATGTGATGTGGATATCAAACGAAGGATAGCTATGGCGAAAGATGCATATTCTAAAATGAAGAACACACTCACCTACAGTAAAATCAGAATATCAACAAAATTAAAACTGTCAGAGTGTTACATTTTTTCCTGTGCTAACTTACGGATCAGAGTCCTGGAAAATTTATAAAGAAATGGAAAAAAGGATTAATGCTGCTGAGATGTGGTTTTTGAGAAGAATTGTGAAAATTAGTTGGACCTCTCATACTTTGAATAAGGATATATTAAAACAGTCTAGTTATGAAAAGAGAAAATTACTAAAAATAATCTAATGGGCGCAGTTAAAGTTTTTTCGGTCACATCATGCAAAAGGAAGGAATGGAAAATCTAACGACCACTGGAAAGATTGCAGGGAGAAGAGATAGCGGACAACAACGAACAACATTTGTGAAGTCCTTGTGTCACTTGTTGAATTTCAACTACTACAAAGTGTTAAAGATCGGGTTTTGTGGAGGTCGATGGTCGCCAATGTCCTGAAAGGATAAGGCACAAGAAAGAGAATTTATAAAGTGGACCGAATCCTAAAATAATAAAAATCAACTAATCACAACGAGAATGCGAAACATTTCAACCAATCCCATAGTCCTTCATGATAACAATATATATCAACATTAAGAAATGTAAGAAATATTTACTTTTCTTTTTATGTTTTCAAGTAACTCTTCCTTGTCTCTAATGAAATATTGATGTGCAAATTCGAGATCTTCCTTTTCAGATTTTAATGACATTGCATCTGTGTTTATCACTTTCCGGAAACCATCTGAAAATTAAATTGGTAATTTATAAACATCTCAAATTAACATCTTGATGCTGTAACCCTTGACCTCGTAATTACCAACACCAATGTTATAACTTCAAAGATCAGTATATATTTTCAACACCAGTGTTTTAGCTTCCAACGGTCGTCAAGTGTTCCGTAAGCTCAAAATTTCTGATAGACGAACACAGCTGCTTCAAACGCAAACTTTTTTGAACGTTTATTTGAATACCAACAGTAATAGAAAGAATAAACTTATCTAAGTAACTACATAAATCACATTTACGACTTCGCTTTCTCTGCTGGAAACCTGACTGTAAACCTGACTACCCAGGACGTATATATAGCCTAGATTTTTAAGATGTCTTTTTACGATCCTCTATCCAAAGATTACAAATATAGCAAAGATAACAATAATCAAATAATAAAGCACAATTTGATCATTCCGGTGATTATAACTTAGATAACAACTTACACATGTTAAGCTGCCGAATGAAACTGGCAATGTTGTTGTGTTTAAAATAAAGTGGCAAAATTTCTTTAGCAAATCTCGTTTGGTCAGAAACGTGGAAACTTTTACCTGACTAAAAAAGAATAATAATTTAATCATAAAAAAAGAACAGTTTTTCAACATTTTAAAAGTTTTTTAAACTGACAAAAAAGTTCAAAATGTTTCAAAGTCAATGCTGGAGAATGAGTGGAATATAAAGCAAAACGTGAAATGATAGGTTAAGGTTAGACATGATAAAATTAAACAGTATTAAAATGTGTTCTTTTATTAAATGTGATATTAAAAAATCGATAGATTTCTATATTCTCAAATATTATCAACAGATGAATAAACTTCACCGAGTCTTTGTATTATGCACTTTAAATAAAATAACCTCTTAAAAATAATTATACTCATAGGGATAATAAAATTATAAAAATCAAAGAAAAAACATTTATACTATATCCCAATAAATTAGATCATTTGTTGAAAGATCCTCAACCAACGACCACAATTTTGTAAGGAATGCAGGTACTGTGCTGAACGAGGCTTCTTGATAATGCATTGTGAGCAATCTGAAAAATGTTGAAATTAAGTACGTCAATTTCAAATGCATGTCTTTCATATATTCTGGTAACACAACAATAATGTAATTTAAAAGAGTGCAAATAAAGCTACAAAGCATTGTACAAATAAATAAATACCTGCATTCATAATCATATTCATAATCAACAGCAATTAAAATTTTTTTACTAGATTAAATTTAGGCTATGTTCAATTGTGTGCTTTTTTGCACAGAGTGAACAACTGGTTACAGACTTGAATGGGCATGCATGGAAAATGTGATATGCAGTTCTATAATCTCTAGTAATTTAAAGAGCTGAAAGATTGTTTTTAAAACGTAATTTTTTAATGTTTTTAAAAATTGTTACATTCCAATATGCAACATTTCGATAAGCCTTGCCGGTCTACTGGTTTAGTTTATATTCAAATGAAAGAGTGCAAAATGTCTGATTGCCAGTGCAATCATCAAGCAATTCAAGTCCTCGTTTAGTGTAGACTGAGTAATGCCAAAACTTCCATAGACAGACGAGTTTTGGGCGCCCTTCTCCCATGATTTTCATGGTTTAGCTTTAGATAAAGGAAGGTTTGTCATATGAGTGTCAAAAAGCTGACAACAAAAACAAAAACAATTGAAATCTGGTGTAAAAAAAACAAATGAAATGACGCCGCTGCATAAACCAAGGCATGGCAACCTCAATTGTCACTTCTCTTATTTTGTAGTTAAATATATCAGCCGTTTTGTTTGAATGAACAAGTGCCCGGAAGATACAAAATAAAATATCGCTAACATCGAGATCGCTATTTCTTCCTTGCAATAAAATGTCCACATTACTTACAAATTGAGCAATCATGTTAGGTCACAAACTGATTACAAAAATATATTGAAACCAATAGAGGATCAATTAATCTGTAGACACATAGAATATCGGCACTCTTTGGTCTGCAGTCAAATTACAACTTTTAGAAGAGGTAATGTTGAGATAATGAGTCGATATACTTGAAACGTTCAAACGAGGACACTAGCAGCAGGAAAAAAGGATGGAAAAATAATCTGGTCAGGTAAAAATCGGAAACACGGGGTAGAGGTTTGATTTTTGTTAAGCAAGAAAGTGATAGCGGAAATGATAAGATATAAGTAGGTAAGAGAGTGATCGAGGCACAATTCATTGATTCAATGTTACAATAATTTGTGTTTGCACACCTACAGCCAGAGCTTCATATGTGGGGCAGGATGGTTTAAGGTTAGGTGTCCGATTTTTTTAATTAGCAAAATAAATTTATAACAATACTTCTCTAAAAAACACCAAAAAACCTATATATATATATATATATATATATATATATATATATATATAGAGAGAGAGAGAGAGAGAGAGAGAGAGAGAGATTTATATAGCACAAATAAAATACTTCAAAGGTGCCATCAAAAGTGAAACAAACAAAATATCTGTGCGTGATCAACATAAATTAAAATATTCAAATTTAATGTTTATCAATTCTTTTTTAAATGTCACCAAATTAATTCCGGGTCTTCTTAATGAAATAACCATCGGACCCGCAACTGCAATATCTCTTGCACTTATTCGTAGATGCCTAGCTAGAACCGCCAAAAGATTCATATTATATGATCTCAGATGAAAACATGATGCAGATGCCTTCATGGAAAATTTATCTGAGTTGTAAGCCGGTGACATTCCATTCAAGGATTTGAACAGTCACTGCAATTTTTAAAATTATTCTTTTCTCAATCTTTAACCAGTGAAGTTCATTCAATATTGGCGTTATATGATCAAATTTCAATTTTCCAGTTACAAGTTTTGCAGCCCTATTTTGAACCGACTGAAAAATGGCAATTGATCTATGTTAAGAAGCATGACCCGGGTCATGGAGGGTTGATTATATATTTTCGTAAAGATTTCAGGTACAAAAAGTTAGTGCTACCTTTGTTTGTCACATTTCAGGCTGTGGCCATCAGAATAATGATTAATGGGAGTCTGTTGATTTCAATTGTCATATATAAGTCAGGTTCAGCGCAGATAACTACCTTGTTTTTTGAGGAGTTGGTATCAGTTTTAGAATACGTTACAATATTAAACTCCAACATCTTGCTGATGAGTAATTTCAATGTGCATATCGAAAAAGTTAATGATCAATAATAATGGTAATAAGATTGTGAACTACAGACCAATTTCTAATCTTCCCTTTATTTCAAAAACCATGAAACGTGTTGTCTTGGATGAAAATAATTTAATGCCAACTTATCAGTCTGGATATCGCAAATACCACTCCCCTAAAACTGCTATATCCCACGTTTTATCAAATTTATTTGCTGCTGCAGATGATCAAAACATAACGGTTTTATCATTTTTAGATATTTAGATATGTCATCAGCATTTGATTGTGTTGACCATAATAATCTTCTATCTAGATTATGCTCTACTTATGGTGTCTCTGGTGTTGTTCGCGAATGGTTTGGATCACATCTTATCGACCGTGCCCAACAGGTTCCATTTAAAAACTCAGTGTTAGATGTAGCATTGGTGTCATCTGGAGTGATGCAAGAATCTGTCTTGAGGCTCATCCTATTCCTGCTCTACACATCCGACGTAATTAAAATAATCAATTCATATGTCTTTGCTGATGACATTCAGATATTGGTCACCGGTCCTTCAAACTCGTCTAGAAATGAAATCAACAGATATAATGAATGAATGACGGAGAATGGTCATTGGATGTCAAATAACTCATTAAAGTTGAACCAATGCAAGACGCAGTTGCTTACAGTTGGAACATGGCAGAAGTTGATAAAGATGAACATTAATGCCATCAAAATAGGATGCCATCAATATATCCTTCAGTATAACAGCTTTCAATCTTGGGGTTCTTCTTGATAGCAACTGTCCATGAAGGACCACATCAAAATGATATCTGTTACATGTATTACGCACCTAAAAAATTTATATCGAGTTAGATATTTGTTAGACAGGCTAACAATGGAGGGTTTAGTCCATGCTCTCATATCAACACAGCTGAATTACTTCAATAGCTTGTTTTATGATTTGCCTACAAAGTCAATTGCGATTCTTCAGTCAGTTCAAAATAGGGCTGCAAAACTTGTAGCCGGTAAATTAAAATTTGACCGTGTGACGCCAATTTTGCATGAACTGCACTGGCTGAAAGTTGAGAAAAGAATTATTTTCAAGATCGCCTAAATCGTATATAGATCGTTAAATGGGCTGTCATCAAGATATATTTCAGACAAATTTTCTAAAATAGAGCCTGCTCCAAGTTTGCATCTACGGTCGCATAATATGAATTTGCTGGTGGTTTCGGTAAGAATATTGCGGTTTTCTACCGAATGTTTGGCGTTAACATTCGGTAGAATTTATAGAATATTGCAAAAATTATGGTCTAATACCAACATATACATATATATGGTGTGTGTATGTGTGTGTGTGTTGAAAGGAGACCATATTTTATACAGTATTGTATGAATTCTACCGAATTGTTGGCATTAATCAATTTAAAGTTTGTCTTTTCAATTTTCCTTGCTAGAATTTTCTGGAAATTGTTCTATTTTTTTAATATAGTTTTTTTAAACAAAGCAAAGTTCTTTAGCAAAGTTTATTAGTTGGTATCAAATTCTTCATCTTTGTCGTCGTCATTCCTTTGTTCTTTATAGTATTAATTAATATTAAAACGTCGAGTTGGTAATGATGTTATCATTCTTTGCTGGATGTTTATTTGGGGTTTATTGATATCTATTAGGACAGCTTCTGCAATTTTTTAGATGTATTGTGTTGGTGTTTTGATAAATTATTTTTGTGTTGTTGTCAAGAATTTGGCGACTTATTGGAGTTGCATGTGTTATTGATGTGAGATTTGATGGCTTCTCTTTGTGTATGCATTGTGAGACGTCTTGATAGTTAAGTGGTCGTAACATCAATATACGAATGTTGTTGACGCGCACAGACTTCAATAGGGCATTTTAATTCATTTATTACATGATTACGCTTCAAAGTATAATAGAATCGTCTTTAGGAGTGCAGTTGTTCATTAGGACCCATTGTGGTGCCTTACAATTATTGTAGTCTATCCTGAGTTTTAATTTATCAGTATCATTGATTGGTGTAACGTTTTTTTATGATTTGTTTGAGAACGACTTCGTCTCTTTTATGTTCCGTTGACATATGATTTCTGTCTGTTTTTGAACATATTGCCATTTTGCTGTAGTCTTTGCTGAATGGTGCTCTCAATGGATGTTTTGTAACCATTGCTTACTAGTAGATTAGTAATTCTTTTCAGTTACATATTGCGATCTTCAGTTGAGGATGAATGCAGGAAAGCACGGTTCACAAAGCATTTTATTGTGTTTATTGCGAATTGTTCCGTACACTCACTTAACCCATTTAAACAAATACCTTTATTTGTTCCTTTGACGTATACGGCAGTTGTAAATATTTGTTTGTCATGCGTTACCAAAACATCCAGAAATGGCAATGAATTTTCACTTTCGTGCTCGATAGTGAAATTCAATTTTGATCGGTTCAACGTCACAGTAGCTGGTTGACTTGTTTCGGATCATCGTGTGCGACGAAGATATCATCAACATATCTGGCATAAATAAATTCCAGATTTTATCTCAAGATGTCCTAAAAAGAAATTTACGAACAGGACACCGAGTAGTGAGCCTATGGCTACACCGTCAATTTGCTTGTATAACTTGTGGGGGTGTGGAAAAATGCATTGGTGGTGCAGATTTGGAGAAGAGATTTGAGATGTGTTTTTAGTATTTTAAAAGGGACCATGTCTGAGTAATAAACACTATTGATGATAATATCAATTGTGTCATGAATGGGAACATTTGTAAACATTCAGAGAAGCAATCAACAAGTCTTAAACTTCTAGGTATTACTCTTGATCCGTCTCTAACTTTTAAAGCTCACACTTCTGCTCTCATCAAAATATGTAATTAAATTATTCAGTCTATTCGCCATATTC